CAACCATCGTAAGGAACAACTTCACAATATAGTAATTCTGCCAGAAATCAGAGATGTTACCAATTAAATTACAGCCTAATCCTATATTTCTCAACATTGTCGCTTTAATGACTGCTAATTAAATTATGAAAATGTTAAACTCACATCAGACACTGGCTATTTTTCCCTTACGACAACTGGTCGTATCTTTATTGAAGAAGAAAAAACAAAACAAAACAAAAACATTATGCAAATCTCTCAATTACTATTGAACATTCAGGCATGTGCCCGAGCATCAGACTCTTCAGAATTTTTACCTGCAACAACCCATTATATTTTGACTATTACATTTTGAGAATTGCTTACTCTCACTTAGAAAAATTCTGACCAATATGTAAATCTCTTAATTGCCTTAAATGCTCAGACATGTGCCTGATAAACTTGTATTGTATCATTGTTATACTGTATATCGTCATATTGCCTATAGCCCTAAAATTTGCAATCGCATCAGGGTTCGTTTTAATCAAACCAAACATGCCAAGTGTGAACACACTCTTAGTGCACATAGCCTCTGCCAAATTATAGGCAAGGGAAAGCAAGTTTATTTATATAGCACATTTCATACACAATGGTAATTCAAAGTGCTTTACAGAAGGAATGAAAATAATCAAAATAATTACAACAGATGCATAGGAATTAAAAATAGCATGCATAAGAAATAAAAATAACAATAAGAGTTGAGAATAAGAACTGATATAAAATATATTAAAAAGAGTTTAGAATAAAAAAGGAGGATACTATAATACTATTCCTGACTTCCTGAATCACTAAGCTTGGGGATCCACTATCTGGATTGAGAGTCAGGTTCGCGATTTTACACTAGAAATTATAGTAAGTCTGGCAAGATTTTTATGATACTACAAGTTGTTTGAATTGAAATCTGAAAGCTTTCCTTTCCCATCCGCATCATCTCAGCTGTGCGGACATTCAAAGACTGTCAACAGAGTGTTGAACAGCGAAGCCGACTGATGCTGTACAGTGTATCATGAGTTATAAGGTTAACAATGACCTGCTGACTGACTAGACTATTAGATGCCTGGTTAATACTCGTGCAACACACATAACAAACACTCTTTCGAAATACATTCAGATAAGAACCTTACATATACATAACCCCCACTCTCTCTCTCTCTCTCTCTCTCTCTCTCTCACACACACACAAACACACACGACACTAACACCTGCATCATTGGGTCATTGGGTGTGATGTGGGCCGCTCCAATAAAACAGCAGAGAGGAGGGGGGGCTTGGCGTTCATCTGCGGCGTTGGGAGAATGTTGTCTTGGCATGAAACTCGCACTCGCTTTGCTGTGTTTGTTCTTTACTTGACTTTACAAGGTTTCAGTGATGTACTCGAGCAGGTATGTTGTATACACCGCTTTCCGCCCTGTGTCCATTTTTCAATCACTGTTATGTTATGTTATGTTTTTACAGGGCAGCTTAACCAGAATTCCATGATGATTTGTTTGTGTGGATAGCTATTTCTGAAAAATGTGTGGGAATGCTTATGTTGTATCTTTTAATTGAACTACTGAATGAAAACAGATTAGACTATGTTTTAGTCATGTTGGAAAAAAAGTTCACACTCTATTAAGTCCATACTTCAAAGGGAAGGGAATATTAAAGTGCTCTAAATAGGTCTCGTACGAATCATGAGTGTTCTGTTGAAAGCTGTTGTTGTAACGTGCAATACAGTGTACAACCCGGGTTTAGTCTGTGTGTACTGTAAGAAAAATGCATCACACCAATTAGTCACAACTGTACATTACAGGTAGCTTATGTTATGTGTTCAGTAGCTTGTATATTCACTATCATAATTTGTATCTGTATCATATATAGCTTTTAATTCATTTTAAATAAGGTTATTTGGCCTTACATATTGTGTTTTGTAACAAGAATAAGAATAAAACTACTCTGTTCGAGTCAACACAATGCTAAGGTCAAATTCATCACCATTTTTAATGCTAATAATGTGATTTAATTCACCATTAAACTACATTGACAATGTGTTTCCTATCGAGGTACTCAAGCTGTGAAGTTTTATTTCTGTTTTTCCGAGTTGACTTTTTAAATGTCAAGCTACCATGAGGATCATGTTTGTCAGACTGTTAACAAGTAAATAACAGCGAAAGTTCCAGTAACCTTTGCACAGGAACAGATTACGTGCGTAATTTGTTTGTTGCTAAAAAACGTTATCCAGCCTCGTATGGCATGACAACTCTAAGAATGCTTGATTCTTTGTGGCACTATGAAAACACAGCAATGTTGGCTCAACCAATCATGTGAGATTGGGGGCAGGACTATCTGTTTATCCAGCCAATGGCAGATGAGGGGAGTGTTGGGGAAACTTGATTATTTCATACCATGATTTATGCAATTCCATTTGGTGATGCTAGTAGATAGAAATTATACTTCTTAAAATGAATAGACCAATGCCTACTGAAAAGTCGGTATATTCACTGTGCTCAGACGCATCACTGCATGTTGACAGAATTAAATCCTCAGAAAATATTATCTTCCAAGTCTGCGGCATGTCAGAATTGGCTCGGTCAAAGAGCTCTGAATAACTGTGACTGGAAAAGTGTGCTAAATTCATGTTAAATGTGGAAAAGGAAACCTAAAATCCCTCTACTGTCAAGGGACGCTTCCTTTCTTGCTTTCTTTTTTCTTTTTCATATATAAACCCAATCACCCAATTGGCTTTCAGGAAAGAGCTTGATCCTGTTATTGGCCCAAACACGTCTTCCAGCCCAGTTGAGCAGCCATGAGCCCTCATGAAACTTTGGGTTCTTGGAGCTGACAGCATTCAGAGATAAGCTTTTACAAATGAGGCACAGAAGGGAGTATAACTTTTGAAGCGTTTAACTCCAGATTTTTTTAATAGCTTTTTTAACGCAACCTTTCTGGCCTCCTGTAATGATTAGATGAGGATGATGAAGGATGTTTTAGCACTGTGGAGATATTTTCTGCTGTTGAGCAAAACAAATCACACACACACACACACACACACACACACACACACACACACACACACACACACACACACACACACACACACACACGCTCTGGCTACTATTACAGTAAATTTCAGTCTGTAGAGTTCTTGCCAAAAATAAAATAAGTAAGCAAGAGATATTATATCACAAGAGATAAAAGTCTGTGGGTGTTAATGGCAAGAAAAATGAGAAAGTGGCTGCATACAGTAAGTACAGAAAAATGGCAAAATCATTAAAAGGAAAGAAGTCATTAATGAAAAAGATTAATGCTTCTCAATTCTTCCAAACAGCCCTCAAGAACGAGCACCACAATTTAATCATACAGAACTTCAAGTCTTTCAGTAATCTTGTGCTGTTGTCAAAATGCATAACGGTTTCTCGTCCATAATTAAGAATTAAATTAGACACAGGGCTATAAATGTGTGTGTGATGATGTGAGTTACTGTAGATACAGCTGATGATCCCAAGGAATTTATTTTGATACACTTTTAAAACCTATTTATATCTCAGTGAGGTCCAATGTGTTCCATGCAGATTAACTGGTTCGGAAAATATTTCCTGAAGACAAAGAATGTGATGTTTTTGTATTAGAATCTTCTCAGCAAAGCAAATCTTTTTTTTTTAAAGAAATTAATCTTTACTCTGTTCACTTTTGAAGATAAACACATGTGGTGTGTTTTTAGGTGTGTGTGTGTGTGTGTGTTCCTGGAATTCCCTACGTTATGGGGACCAACAAGTAAATTTTGACCTTGAGGGGACATTTTTTGGACCCCAAGAAGAAACAAGTTTATAAATCATATAGAATGATAGAATAAAAATAATTACGTCTATGGAACGTCCCCAGGGTGTGTGTGTGTGTGTGTGCGCGAGCGTGCGTGCATTCGTGCGCATCAGATTTTTATACCGACCTCCTCCTCCAACCACAAGTATTACAATACCTCAGCAGCATCCACAAATGTCTCTCTTCTGCTTTCTTTCTGATTTGTTCTCACTTTCATTCTCAATGGTCAATCTCAATGGTCTCAGTGCACAACTGAATGGACATTTACCACAAGAGCTCTGCGGCAATCTTGACAAACCATTCTTCTGTCTGAATTGCTCAAATACTTGAAGACATAAAAGAATTCTGCGGCAATTCGATTTCTGGGGCAGATTTCTTGACCGGATAGTGTTATTAATCACGCATGTAAGATCCTTTAATTTTTCTTTACTTTACTACTATTAAAACAAAAAGGATGTTAAGGTCAATAGATCATCACCTTGACACAAACTTACTGACTTATAGAAATCCTGACAGATGAATTAGCATTTTTTTGCGAGACATCATATAGCTCAACTATTCAATATTTTGTCAGCAAATTGATTCAGCCACAGAAAGAAATACTCCACACTGTTGTCTTTGTTGAAATCGTATGAAATGCTGCATTGGAAAGGCAACGGTCCTCTTTTCTATGGGCACAGAGGGGTGCACAGGAAGCAAAAGACCTTTATGACAAAAGGTCAATGGGTGTACTCAAGTCTCACTGACAATGTGCCTCAGCAAGCAAAACCCAACTATTCAGCTGAATCACCAAAAGATGCTCTGATGTTATTACGCATTCTAGAATGTTTAATCCTTCCAATAACTAATATGTGTCATACTAATAATAAGTTGCCCTGGTATTCAGGATGCAATGCAACATTCTTTAACTCAGTGTCACTGTTTAAGGCAGCAAAAAGATGCTGTGAAATTTCATAACATTAGTTATGTATGTCACTAACAAGTAAGAAGAATGGTCAAACCCATATTCTGAGATATTTGGGGCACGCTGAATCAGAATATTGAATTGCATAATTATTTTAGCATAATGCATTGACATCGCTACAGTATAAGCGCTTTATGCGTCACATTGACAACTTTGAATGACGCACGTAAGTTATCAGAATGACAAATGCGTAAATGTGCGGCGTTACGCACGGACTTACCCGGGGACCACTGGACTTCTGCGCTGAGGCTGGTGGCAGGCACATCATCATCAGTAGCGCGTGGGAATACAAAAACACAAAAAGGACCCGATTGTGGAAATACATTCTGTCTGACGTTGAAGTATTAAGACAACTGACAGCCTACGGACAAGATTAACTTAAGAATTGGCAAAGGTCCCAAAGTTGCAGGAAATTCCAAAAGTTTGTTCCCAGATAAATTCGTCCTCAGCGGGTTCCTCCTTCACATGTGTGCGTTTTCATAGTGCCAGAGAGAACGCAGACAAGATGACGATAGTCGTAGTGATACACTCTTTCCACTGCGTGGGATGTACTGTCCTTTCCAGAGCTACAGGTTGAATAGTTTGTCTTACACTTTGGGACGCGTTTAAAACCTCAGGAGGTGGGATTGCTTGGCGTGATTGACAGCGGGATCGTCCAATGACAGCGCAGTTCGACGGGGTGGGGGGTGCAAAAGTCCGCGGATTAATCATCAGTCCACTTGGTTACAGCAAGAGTAATGACGCACTCTATGCCTTTCTTTTACACAACTGTCCTATACGCAATTTATTTATGTTTTATGGTCGTTTAATTAGCGTAAAGATAAAGCGTATTATTTAATAACTTATATTTGTAATATTTAATCATTTATATAATTATTTTTTACAAGGGAGATTGACGCAGGTTGTCACAAATGTTTAATCTTCTTATTATTATTACGGTTAGCCTACATATTTCAATAAATGTGACTTCATTTAGTGAAGGCAATGCACCTCTTCTGTTGTTTAAATATTCCCAATTAAAATATAAACGCCAATTTTATGTTTAAAATATTGATATTCTATGGATATTCTGTTTTGTATTATTGTATTATGCACTCTAAAAAATTCTGGGTTGTTTCAACCCAAATTTGGGTCAAATATGGACAAACCCAAATGGTGGGTTAAAAATGTAATTAAAAAATTTACAGTTGAAAGTGAAAGTTGAAGTTGGGTTAAAATTTTAAATTACATTTTTAACCCAACTTTTGGGTTTGTCCATATTTGACCCAAAACAACCCAGCATTTTTTAGAGTGTGAGAAAAAAATTCTAATCAAGCGATTACAAATATTGTGACGAATTTTCAAGACATGATTATTAGCTAGCATGATTGTGTCATTTGACCTTTTTTATTTATGAATTCTTAAAGATGTGTGTCAAACTGTGTGAGAAAGAGAGGAAGAGTAACATTATTAAATAAAACATTATCTAGATAGATAGATAGATAGATAGATAGATAGATAGATACCGGTAGATAGATAGATAGATAGATAGATAGATAGATAGATAGATAGATAGATAGATAGATAGATAGATAGATAGATAGATAGATAGATAGATAGTCTGTCCGTCCGTCCGTCCGTCCGTCCATCCATCCATCCAGATCTAGATAATATGATAATAATATATATACTTATTTAAAACTATTGAATAATAGTTGAATAATAATAAAAATACATAATTAAATTTGAACCATTCTCCCAGCTTCTCAAAAGTTCAATTCTATCCTATTCGATTGCATTTTAAGGAGAAAAGGAGAGAAAGAGAGGCGCAGCTCATAAGCAGGGCTCAGGTCTGCTCAGGTCTGCCTCCATGTGGTTCTCCTATCATGGATGAGGGATGAACCTCGATCTGCCGTTAGCTTTCCACTGGGATCTCGGTTATGCCGTGCTCCACGCCGTGTCAGCTGGCCTGTGTGTCCGGGACTGTGTGAAGCTCCTCTGGGGGAGGCGAGGGGGGACAGGAGTGTCTAATGGAATGTTAACGAGATCACTTTATGTCCTGTATCCACTTTCCTTTAACCATGTCCTCATACAAAACAAAGACGCTTTCTGGCGTGTGAAAAAAAAAGAAAAGTTGTTGTTGGAGAAACGTTGACCAACACAGACGGCTGTTGTCACTTGGCTGGACTTGAAACAAATGTTTGACAAGGGGCAGAGAGAAAGGAAAGGGCGAACAAGCTGAAAAGGTCTGTGCTGCCCAATTATCACACCGACCCTTTCCACAGATCCTCAATGGCGGTTCACTGTCTGTTTATAGCAAGCAAAGCCGACAGAAAATTAGCAGGTGTCTGTAGACAAGAGCAGCCAGCCCAAACCAGCGGGCACCCTGCCGACTCCAACGCAATTATTACCAGGCCATGCACATTTGGTGGCTTTCATCAACACATCAGTACAGAGGAGAGGTCTCTTATGTTATTATGATGTCTTAGATAAGCATGACAGGCCCGCTTCATGTTAAGTGTCCTTAATACCTTTGTACTTTAAATTGTGTGCTTCTAACTGCTGTTAAACCCATTTACAGCTTTTATAATTAGACATCTGGACCGAGCTTTATTGTGGTTTTACCAGCTTTCAGAGAAGTTAAAGTTTCATTCCTTCAGCTAATGTCTTTGACAGCAATTGTCTCCTTCAAGATGTACGGATCCTCGCCAGATGTCTAATTAATCCATGAAATGTTTTACTGTGTGCCCTTTTTTTTTCCTTTTCAGAAATGCATGGTTTTAAAATTAGTGGCAAGGAGAAATTCTCTGTTGTTTCTTATAAAATGCATTTCGAGAAATAAAATAGACAAGTGACTAAACTGTTGACATTCTGTAAGTGTATATTAAGGGAATATTCCATGTTCTGTTCAAGTAAAGCTCAGTTGACAGTATTTGTGGCACAATTGCACAATGCTGATTATCACAAAAAAGTTTACACTTTATTTTAAGGTTTTCATGTTACAGTGTAATTGTACAATTAAGTATGGAGTAATATTAATTAACTATGTACTTATACGGCAGGATTAGGGTTTGGTTTAGGGTTATTTGCATGTATTATGCATGTTTTACTGTTATTACTATAACGTGTAAGTTAACGAGGACACTGTAAATCAAAGTGTTACCAAAAAGCCCTTTCTTTTATTTTAAAAAGTATTTTTTAAAGGTAATTACACTGCAACTAAGTCACCTTAAACTAGTTTATCCAATTAATGTGCATATATGACTAAGGTCATTTATTATTGGATGGGTTGAAGTTCATACTGAAGATTTATGATTGCAACATCTGTCCTGAAACTGCACACTGTGTTCTTTTACTCAGGAGAAAAAGAAGCAGAAGTCTTCATTTAGTCTCAGTGTAATCTCAATGGAGAAATAAGTGAGATCTCATTACAGGCTGTACGTTCCTACAGGTGTGTATCTGTGTTCTCAGAGCTGGTAATATACATGTAATCTGGAGTATAAAAAATAAGGGTTACTGGTACACTTTATTTTAAGGGGTCATTACAGTGTAATTATATATTTAAGGACTGAGTAATATTAAGCAACTACATGTACTTACTATAGGGTTAGGGTAGGATTAGGATTTGGTTGAAGGTTAGTTGCATGTAATTATGCATATGTAACCCCTCCAAGTTTACTCGCACAGCAACTACTAGCTGGCCTCCGTTACACATAACTTACTGTTATTACTATGGTAAGTACATGTAACATATGTAACAAGGACACTGTAAAATAAAGTGTTACCAAATTAAGTACTTGTAATTAGATTATATTACATTTTAAAATTCTCGTAATCAGTACATTTTTTATTGATTACATATTCACAAAAAATGATTCATATGTATACATTCAGAAAGTCTTGCAGTTTTGGAGTTTCACATACAGATTAGCCGCTCGTCAGGTGGCTATAAATCACACAGAACATTGAGAGGCCACAGCATTTGACCACTGGATTTACAGAAATCATTTTGTTGTGTGTTTTGCAACATTGCATAATCAACTCCTGACGAACACATTCATTAATTATTTGAATTATTACTCAGTAATTGAATAATGTATTGATGTGTCTTTGTAAGGTTTTTGTCTTTCAAACACATTTTTATTATGATTTTTATTATTTTTAAATGATTTAATTCGATTTTTATTATACTCATAAAGCCTCTGCAGTTCCATCATGAACCGCAGTCTGAGAAACCCTGACCTAATGTAATGTTTAATGCACTTCATGTTGTTGATAACAAAGAAAGACATATTTTATTTCTCTTTGTATTTTTATATCAATATGGTACAATATTATCCTATTAAATTCAATGTGATGGTCAAAAGTAATCAAAAAGTAGTCTGATTTTATTACATACCACTCACCTAAAGGATTATTAGGAACACCTGTTCAATTTATCATTAATGCAATTATCTAATCAACCAATCACATGGCAGTTGCTTCAATGCATTTAGGGGTGTGGTCCTGGTCAAGACAATCTCCTGAACTCCAAACTGAATGTCAGAATGGGAAAGAAAGGTGATTTAAGCAATTTTGAGCGTGGCATGGTTGTTGGTGCCAGACGGGCCGGTCTGAGTATTTCACAATCTGCTCAGTTACTGGGATTTTCACGCACAACCATTTCTAGGGTTTACAAAGAATGGTGTGAAAAGGGAAAAACATCCGGTATGCGGCAGTCCTGTGGGCTAAAATGCCTTGTTGATGCTAGAGGTCAGAGGAGAATTGGCCGACTGATTCAAGCTGATAGAAGAGCAACTTTGACTGAAATAACCACTCGTCACAACCGAGGTATGCAGCAAAGCATTTGTGAAGCCACAACACGCACAACCTTGAGGCGGATGGGCTACAACAGCAGAAGACCCCACCGGGTACCACTCATCTCCACTACAAATAGGAAAAAGAGGCTACAATTTGCAAGAGCTCACCAAAATTGGACAGTTGAAGACTGGAAAAATGTTGCCTGGTCTGATGAGTCTCGATTTCTGTTGAGACATTCAGATGGTAGAGTCCGAATTTGGCATAAACAGAATGAGAACATGGATCCATCATGCCTTGTTACCGCTGTGCAGGCTGGTGGTGGTGGTGTAATGGTGTGGGGGATGTTTTCTTGGCACACTTTAGGCCCCTTAGTGCCAATTGGGCATCGTTTAAATGCCACGGCCTACCTGAGCATTGTTTCTGACCATGTCCATCCCTTTATGCCCACCATGTACCCATCCTCTGATGGCTATTTCCAGCAGGATAATGCACCATGTCACAAAGCTCGAATCATTTCAAATTGGTTTCTTAAACATGAACACTCATTGGAGTTCACTGTACTAAAATGGCCCCCACAGTCACCAGATCTCAACCCAATAGAGCATCTTTGGGATGTGGTGGAACGGGAGCTTCGTGCCCTGGATGTGCATCCCACAAATCTCCATCAACTGCAAGATGCTATCCTATCAATATGGGCCAACATGTCTAAAGAATGCTTTCAGCACCTTGTTGAATCAATGCCACGTAGAATTAAGGCAGTTCTGAAGGCGAAAGGGGGTCAAACACATTAGTATGGTGTTCCTAATAATCCTTTAG